TTTACATGTATTTTTCTTTCACTTGGATGGTCGATGAGGCAATCGTGAGAAATATATGTATCTTAAATAACGCATGTTTTTTTTAGTTTTAAAAGTCTATGATGAGACGTTTGACCTTATGAATTCTTCTAGATGACCTGTATGTCAGTATTGGTTGGTGTCACATGTGAAATCATAATAAATTCAACAATTTTCTCTCCTTTTTCAGTGCTATGGTTTTTTAAGTTCTTCAGAATGGTTTTTTCTTGGTGATATGTATATCTGACACACACAAGCACGATATTAAATAGGTTACAAGCAACCAAAAATTTTTTTTAATAAGGTTTGTTGTCTTCTTGCAGTGACGAATTCGTTGGTTTATATTCTGAGTTCTCTGAGATCTCACGGCTGCATAAAACTTTAATTAATTACTTCTGTTATTATTTTTTTTTAGTGTTATATCTTAGCGTGTGTGTATTTAAGCCTTCAAGAAAAATGAGCTCGAGAATTTTCGGTAACCTTGTGTGTATTTAAGCCTTCAAGAAAAATGAGCTCGAGAATTTTCGGTAACCTCCAGAGAATTGCACTACTACTGCGGACTACCATTCTGCTCATTTCGAGATAGTCACATAACTACGAGAGACAGTTTTATAGTTATCAAAGGAGTAACGAAAAAATGTTGGCAATTTGAGGTGGGCAGATGGGCTAGAAGATTCCATCGCCGAAAGTGATCAGGCGTGGGGAGTTTCCCTGTAGAACTGTTTATCTCATGACAAACACCGTCAATATTTTAAAAATGATATTATCATATTATTAATTATTATTTTAATAGTTATTTTCTTAATTTTGGTAGTCATGTTACTCACTGTTTAGTAAGGTGTATATATTTATTTTTTTATGGTCTGCACTGAATATTTGCTTCAAGTATGAAATGTACTACTATGAACAGTAATGTTGCAAACAACATTGCAGCACAGTTATTTCTAAACTGCAAAAAAAACAAATAGACTTGACAACTTATCTGCAACAATTTATGTGCAACAGCTTCCTTCTACAATTGTTACGCTGCAACTTATTAATAAATTATAGCTGCCCCAAACAGACCCTAAGTGTGACTTATACTACAACAACAACTAAACCCATAGTTGATATTTTAAAAAATGATGATACTAAGAAAAAATCTAATATGGTTTCGTTTACAATGCATTTAAAAAACCAAAGCAACTGATACACAACTCCGAAGAAGAAGAGTCTAGCTAAATAAAAGAAAAAGGAAATAATAGATAAGAAGTGGACACTTCATTTTCATTGATATTTGCATACCACAATATATTGTCATAATCCTCAACATCAATAAGCAACGAAATAAATCAACCAATCCAAAAAATAATTTTGATCAGTACAATTATATGGATGGATAGATAGTTAATTTCACGGAAAGGACAAAAGGCCAATAATTAACTTATAGCATTCGAAAATAAAAAGGAATTTTTTTAATTGAAAAGCCAAGGACACATTAGCCAAATGCATCACAAACAAAAAAAAAAAAAAATTTATTGGTTAAGTTCTACCAAACCAAACTTGAATTTTATGTTAATTTTTGTTTTTTTTTCTATTTTATTGATGGTGAATTCAATGCACTCCATAACTACAATAAATTGCTATCAAATCATTGGGTCTTACATGCCTATCAACAAGGTGTGAGCAAAATTAAACAACACATAAAAATTATGCCAAAAGGAGAAATTGTTTTATAAACTTAATTATGAACTAATTATTTCGTATCATGTCCAGTAAAAGATTAAAAGATAAAGCATTTGAAATAAACTTCATAAAAATCAATGAATTTGTATATGTGTTATCAGATCATAAATAATTTGTTAAGTTAGAACACAAAATTGCAAGAGAAAATCTCAATGTTCACTTCTTTGATGAAATGTGCAAGACCAACAGGCACAACACGTGCTAATAAGAAAATAATAGAAAAGGTTATACTAAAACATTATGCAATTGAATTGGTAGCAAAAAACCAAATTCATTTTTCTAAATTTTTATTAAATTTTTCGTGTTTATTCTTCATAATGATAAGAATATTAAGATGTCAACATACTAAGGATGAGAGGAAAAAAATAATTCATCATAATGTTTATTCTAATGACGAACCACTGAGTTATGAGGGTAGTGGAAACTTTTAAATGGTTTAGCGTGACTTGGACTACTTGTAAATGTTGCTTTGGAAATGAGAGAGAATTATGATAATAAATTTTATTTGATACCTTACTCCAATATAGTCTCCGTACTTCATATTTTTAATTAACTTAACGTTCTAAATTTGAGGCTCACACCGAGACACGGATAGAAAATAATTCAATACCCAATTGTGTAACTTCACACACACACCCCCGCGCGTGCTCACATATAGTTATACATACAATGAAAGAAAAAAAAAAGTAATTCTTACAACTTATATCGCCAATATGAAAATTGCATCGCACCGTGAAAACACAAACATTTCACATAAAGATGAACACATTAACTTGAGTACATAAATCATGAAGAGTAAAAGAATGTGAGATTCTATAAGAGTATTAAACTAGAGTAAGAAAATGTGAGATTCTATAAGAATATGTTATGAGGGCGCCTAGCCTAAGAGCAAATTTGTCTTTTGTATGCCTAAAGGCAATTTAGGGCCCATTTAGGGCAGCTTATAAATGCGGCGGCGTTTTTGAAATGCCGCCTAACAGTTTGGTTTGAGCGTTTTTGAAAACGCTGTCTGTCGCGTTTGGGTTTTTTACACTGAACGCAGGTCACAGATCGAACCGCGGGCCGCGTTTCAGGATAAGCTGCTTATCCTGAAACGTATAAGCTGCCCCAAGCAAACCCTTAGTTTATTATTAATAATAATATTATTATTATTATTATTGGGTATAAATATGTTTGTTATGTCAAGGGTTAGGTTTATGCATGACATTGAGTTGTGAGTCTTAGATCTAGGATTTGAGAGAAATTTCTTATCTCTCGAATTGTACACTCTTATCTTTTGTATTTGTGTGAGTTGTTTGGCTTATTGCAATAAAAATTTATGTTTGCCCTAATTTCTATGAAAATCTGTATGAATTTCTACATCAAATCGTAACAAATTGATATCAGAACATAAATCTTGGTGGGATAGTAGCAAAGAAAGTTGATGAACTAGAAGGAAAGGTAGAGCTATCTGATCGGGATGGAAAAAAGGTTCGCTACCCTGGAGGACAGATTTCTTCTATTGAAAGGCGAATAAATAATGGATTTGAAGGCATAGGAGAAATATGGGAGATGATGAAAAAGCTCATGGTAATCCAATCCAAGGTCGTGCCAACCGCTCTAGTTGAAAACTCTAACCAAAGTTTGATCAAAGAATCCTTGGCCAGGTCAAAAGGGAAGAAGACTGAGCGAAAAGACAATAAAGAAGACATCATCTACCTACAAGAGTGACAAGCTAATGAAGGAGACTTCAGACAGAGGGAGATGAGCCGAAAATTGGAAAAGGGGTGGTGGAAGGGGCACAAAACAGTATGATGAAGGAAGAAAGGAATCGGGGTGAGATATGCCTATGGTTGCAAGAAGAAGTTTCACCTTAGATACATTGGGCGAAATTCCGGAGGGATGGAAAGTTGCGGTGAAGATGCTAGGGTCAGAAAACTGAAGATGTCAATCTTCGAGAGGGAATACGTACATGGGTGTGTGTACCGAGCAGAGCGATACGTTGTTGTGAATGGGTTAGATGGGGAGGAGAAACTCATGGCAGCAAAATTGTGTTTGGAGGGGAAAGCTACAGCATGGTTTCAGTGGAGGGATGCTAGATACCTGATTCGTTCGTGAGATGAATTTAACGATTGTTTGTCAAAATATTTCTGAGCCATCCAGGAAGGAGCTATTCCATGTCTTGACTCGGGAGGGGACGACCATGGAATATAAAGAGAGATTTCCACTATTGTCGAGACGACTGTGGGGGATTTTGAAGTAGGGCTAGAGAAGTTCATGAAGGGCGTAAAGCCCACGGGGATTGAGGGAGATAATGGAGTTAGCCCAAATGGTGGAAGACAAGAACCAGAAGAAGAAAGCCAACATGAGAAACAAAGATGGAGCGTCGTACGGAAAAGTTGCAACCAAGCCAATGCCAAAATTTCAAACTTTTGAAGTCCAGAGGAAGACTGCACGAGACACGAAAAATGAACCATAACTGGAAGCAATACCCAAGCACCTTACAGAGGCAGAGATCCGGGAGAAGGCATCAATGGGTTATGTTTTGGGTGTGATGAGAAGTTCACTCCAGGATACCATTGCAAGCATCAAAGATTAGAAGTTCTCATAGTGCGAGACGAGGAAGCAGAGAATGAAGAAATAAAAACTGTTGTGGGGGAGGAGGAATACTCTCATTTTTTCCTCACCTTGAGGGCAAGGTGTTCAGGGGAGGGGGCAGTATTGTTACAAGGGAGTCTAGCCTAAGGCCAAATTTGTCTATGCTTAAGAGCAATTTAATCTTTTATTATTAATATTATTGGGTATAAATATGCTTGTTATGTCTACGGTTAAATTATGTATAAGATATAAATATACTTGTTATGTCTAAGGTTAGGTTTATGCATGAGATTGAGTTGTGAGTCTTAGATTTAGAGTTCAGGAGAGATTTCCTACCTCTCGAACTTTAGGAGTTGAGAGAAATCGCTTACCTCTCGAATAGTAGACGCTTATCTTTTGTATTTGTGTGAGCTGCTTGGACTATTGAAATAAGAGTTTATGTTTGTCCCAATTTCAACGAAAATCTGAGTGAATTTCTACGTCAAATCACAACAGAATATTGGGCTTGTGTGTGTGTGTGTGTGTGTGTGGAACATGCAGCTACAAATGAAATTATGGCAAGCTAATTAGAACAATAGCATACTGGCATGCCTTAACTTCAACAATCATGTAATAACAAACCAATTCTAACATTAATAAGGAGACATAACCAAAGCAGGTATTAAGATCTAGAGTAATACCCAGCTAGTAAGCTCTTTAACAACAAGCTTGCAAACATCTCGTATAGCCAGAAGAATTGCAAGGTATGCACCAACATAAACAGCATTTGATGAGCTCTCGTACAAACTTTTAAATACCTGACCAACATTATCAGCAACAGAAAGAGGCATAAAATAAACACATGATATGTCTTTGTATTCCATTTAAGATGATAAAAAAATATTACAAACCTTTTGTGCAACAGCCAAGGCGGCCTCATCCTTGCTAACACATCTAAGTAATATATCAGGAACCTCAGCAATAACTCCCTAAATAAGTTTAAGCAAATGAATTGAACCAAGTGAAACTATCAAAAAAGCACACACAAAGCAATCATACGAAATGAAAATTTGACTCAGAAATGTGGAAAATATAAACCTGAATATCAGCGTCTCGGGAATCCTTCGCAATTAAGGCGTCCAACTAAACAATGAAGACTTTCCAAAATAAGAAAGCTAAAAAGTTTATGACCATTGAAATTAAATAATAGATAAAGATAACAGAATGAAATCAGGTCCAAGCAATTTAGGAAACAACTTAGAAAATGCCACAATTGCCACACCATTAAGAGCCACTTATTCTGTAAATACCAGACTGACAACTATTTTCATTGGCAAGAGGAAGTATTTCAACATTTAGATAGTTTTAAAAATGAATAAAAAAAGGAAAAAAAAAAGCAAATCCATCCTTCCATCAAGCATGAATCTCACATAGACTACCCCTGCCCCGTCCCCAGGTCTAATTAATTTAGGAAGAAACTTAGAAAATGGCAACAATTGCCACACCATTAAGAGCCAAATTATCAATGTTCTTACCAGAATGACAATTATTTTCATTGGCAAGAGAAAGTATTTCAACATTTAAATAGTTCTAAGAATTAAAAAAGGTAGAAAAAAAGTCCTTCCATCAAGCATGAATCTCACAGAGGTCCCCACCGCTCCGCCTTGTAATTTTTCTGTTCTTTGACATGTATTCTTTCATGAAACCATAAAATCAGACAAATTGAACAAGCACGTACTTTCAGGAAGCGGTCACCCATCTAGAATATTTTTTTCCAAAGCAATGCAACTAACTGTTGTAGTTGCATAATATAAATTTTAGTTATTATCGCATGCAAAGATGTTTATGATAATTGTTTACTTATTCTACCTCACACAAAAACACTAGAAAAAATAGTTTCAACAGTGAACAAAAAAACATTAGGATTGAACGATTTTAAACAAATAAGGATGCCAAAAAAGTACAATTAGTCAGATGTTTAATAACAACGGCAATTCGGTAAGTTGGAAATTAATCAATTAGAAACTTCTTCATGGCATTTAAATTAGGGTGCATAATGGAAACTTCTTCATGGCATTTAAATTAGGGTGTATAATAGAGGAAATAAAGGATGCTAAAACATTAGTTGATTAAATTCATATAGTTCATGTAAATAATATCCACAGCTGAAGGTTACATTTGCCAAGATTTATAAAATAAGGTTATGATAAGAATTATCTTGCACCTTCTGAGCAACAAGTTGGTATTTCTCTAGAGCATCCCCAGTTGTTAATAATGCCTCGGATAATGTAGCTCCAGATCGCTCTGTTCCCTGAGCTGCAGGTGTCGGTGGCAAGACCACACCCCATTCCTACAAACATACTATGCATATTGATCAGAATGAATCTTAAGGTTAAGCATCTTAGGAAAAAAGGTGCTAGGATGCTAACTTTCGCAACTGACGATGGTTCCACTATTAGCAAATCTGCAGAGGTTGCAACAGAGGTCGTGGCAGAAGGAAAAGACGTAGGAATGGAATTGATTTCAGAACTTGGCTGGACAACACCATCACTTGTGCCAGGATGAGTAGAAGACAATATATATTTAGTACAATCAATCAGTTGATAATAGCTGTGTGCACGCACATACAATGAGGAAAATAAAATGAATAGGTTGAAGAAGATAACCTAAGATGCAATGAGCCACGGTCAGGCTCTTCAGAAAGTGTATCCAAAGATTGAGCAACTGAGCTAAAACTAGGAGCCACTTGTGGATTTGGATAAATGCTAGGATTTAATTGACCCAAAGCTGAACCATAACCACGAGGTGTAGTACTTAAGGAATTACCGCTCGAGATGGCTGGGCCACTAGGAGCCACAGAAGTGCTCTGGCTAGACTGATTTTGCCATATACTCCTGATGAAGTCCTGCAAAAAAGTGCACATGAAATTTGAAGTCAGATTTAAACTAAGTGCTAGCATGAATGTAACCAGAAAGGACAAGAATAGTTACATCATAAACCCTCTGTTGAGCAACAGAAAGACGCCCAGGCTTAGGACGAAGAGCTTCAGGTACCTGAGCAAACGGACCTTGAGAATAGGCACCGGCATCATAATATGCAGAACCAGCAGACTCCCTCTGTTTCCTAATTGCAGCAAATGATGGACCTATAGTTGCATCTATAAGCTCTGCTGCCTGTTAAAGCCCAATGATGCATCAACAACATTCATATACTGCTACTCAATAGCACATTAAGAATGCACAGATTTGATAAAATGATGATTTCATGACAACAAAAAATTACTCTCAACTCGCCAACAAGAAAGGCCCATTAATTTTCAATCCAGATTATTATTTCAAGATTCTGTTAACGTGAAATTTCTATGTGTAGATATGGTTATAAACAAAGATACAGATAACAAGGTAGCCTAAATCCTTTAGGTGGGACAGAAAATTAAAATCCTTGTGTATCCACCAAAATGATTGATTCTGGAAAATGGAACAAAGCTTATGCTCAAGAATCAATAAGCAACCAATGCTAAGTAAATGAAGTTCTTCAGCTATATATGCAAAAACTAAACTGAGAAGGAGAATAAATTCAGTACTAACCAGAATTGCAGGTGCTAAACAGAAGAATAAAACCATATATTGCATAAATGCACCGCAAATTGGGAAGCTGTAAGGATACAAACTTGTATGGGAACAGTTTAATGCACAGGGAGCAGCAAGAATACGCTTCTGGATCCTAAATTACCTCCAATAGGTTCTCTGTTTTCCCACCTAAGTTGTAGATTTCTTGGGGTGATTGATTACTCTCCTTTTACCTGTTTTATTTCTTGAGACAATTGAGGCTACACATTCCAGTCAGAATTTTCCTATCATGGAAAATAAATTTAGAGAGGAATAAGTGGGCTCACGGTGTTAGGAAAGGGAGAAAAGGCCAGGCCAAGTGCTGCCTATGGGATTATACCAACCAGATATTTTGGGCTAACACATCAAAATATAATGTATGAAAGGCCACGCATCAAAGGCTTGTGAATTTGAGTGATATTTTAGTTTAGTTGTCTATTGCTTTCCTGTATATCTGGTTGAAACCTTCTGCTTGTACGTGCTTCTTGAAGTCATTGGAGACTAAGTTTTAACTGAAAACACAATAGACAGCTATTGGCTAAGCTTTGTAATCTTCTTTATTCTTGGGGACGTTCGAGTCTTATATAGTTCAGTTATAAAAATACTACAAGGAAAAAACTGGTGATAAGAAACCAACTAAAGTGAACCCTGAAATTCATATCAGTAAGCTTGAATAAAACTTATAACGAGTCTATAAAAGTCCGGCAATCAAAAAGTACTGTCCAACAAACAAATTCCAATAAAATTGGATATTATGACAAAAAATAAGGCACATTCAATCACCTTTTCATATGCTACATTCTCAATCATTGCACAGCCAAGGTCAAGATGATCATTTGACAAAATCTGCACAACCTGTTCTATACGTTCACTGCTCACATTTCCAGAAAGTAGACTGCGAAGATTATTAGACAAAGCAATGCGAAGAGGTTCCTGAAATATGGAGTAAAATTTATTTCACACAAACCTGGAACCTAAAAACATATGAAGATTCAAATAAACTATAAACTTGAATGAAACTAATGACCTTGCAAGTGACATGGGCTAAACTTCCGGCTAAAGTTCCAACCATCAAATGTGCAGCACGTGATATAACATTGTCATCAGATTCCATAGCATAGTCCTGTAATCAATGTCGAGTGGATAAGAAATGAATACTTTACCCAATCCATGAAGATGTTTATAGGAATATTGGATTCAGACCTTCAAAACAAGTTCCTTAGTAGTACGGCTTGCTATAGTAACACTACGCTGAATAACAGGTGCTACTATATCTTTGATGGCTCTATCCATTGCAACTTGTATGATTCTGATGACAATTTAATCAAGACAATCAAATACATGAACATGACAAATATTAAAAAAATTCGTATGAGAAAAAAAATTAAATAGAGTGGCACCTCTGAAATTGCAACTGTGAGCCCATCGAACTAAGCTTCGGATTGATGTTTATGTAAGAATCGGAATTGGGTATTATTGTCAAAAGCTGCATGTTACAAAAGAATTCCATCAATATTTTCCAATGACTTTGCATGATTAAAATGCACTGTATATTCAAACCTGGCTAAGAGAAAATGGAGAGTGTGATGGCGTGACTTGAGGCAAACCCTGAACAGGTCGTTCTGGAACCATTAAACCCCCAACTTTCTCGTCATCAACCATGGTGCTTGACACAAGGTGGAGAGAAGCAGTATACTACATCCAACAAATACATTACCATGGTTAACTCAGCAAATAGGTAAAAAATTTTAAAAAAATCACAAATTGGTAAGAAAAATATATTTAAAACCTGATTCAATGCATTTTGATGGTTAGCTGCGTTAGATGTGTTATTAGCCTCTTGGTGCAGTTCTGCTTGATTCATAGAAGGTACAATTCCAGAATTAACATCAGCAATTATTGGTGCTTGGGGTGCAGTAACATCCTTATTTGAAAAGTCAGGATTTGCTTCTGCATCGCGAACCCTGTCTTTCAGTAGAGAAGTTGGTTTAACATCTTTCATATCGACAGCCAGATTCTTAAATAATACCTGCAATAGTAAAGCACATCAGATATGGAAAAAAAAAATTAGAAACAGAAGCAAAAACACAAATTACAAGCATGGACAGTTATTTATCTTAGTTAATACCTCAATATCAAATTTAAGGTTCATCTTGAGGCTTGGCAGATTGTAGATCTCAGCAAGTAAACTAAGAATGCCCATTGTCCATGGATTTGGAGGTTGATATGCCAAACTGTTTTGACATGGTTCAAGAATCTGCAATGACTTCCTACCTTGTGTATTATGAAAATACAAATATTAACCTCTGTGTAAATCAAACTTTGGGGACATCATACCTTTGATGTGAATGGAATAACTGCAATCATTAACCCCTTTTCATAAGCCTAGAAAATGAGTAGGACAAATGAGAAAAAGAAGGAATAAAATGCATTTTCAGTCAGTAAATATCAAAACAAAGGCATCATAATCATATCATTTCCAAAAAAACCCCAAAACACGTCAGAGAATAACTAGCACTAGCCAAATAAAGGAGCAGCCTTTGTTTCTTATTAACAAAGATGTCACCAAACCAAAAAAGAATGAAAATTTCTAAAATCCTTCGGCCCTTCCAAGTACAAATAGAGAAATAAAATAACTACAAACATGCAATTTCAAACCATGATAGTCTCATCACTCAATAAAGTGATAAAAGTGCAACTGACAAATCTTACTTTTTATATAACGTTAAACTAAAAAATATTCTGCCAATCTCAATAAAATATATCAACAACAAGAAAATAAAGTAATTTCCAATATGCATAGCCCAATACTAATTCCTCCCCCACCTCAATCTCTCATTTTTACAAATCAGATTAAAGAACTTATTTGAAATTATAAATATCAAACTGAAGTTTCATAGAAATTGTTTGATAATGCTCTGAAGATAGTTATCAATGAAGCATAAATTCTTCTAAAGGATGGATTATCAATATTCTACACATGATTTCACTTGGATACCCAGACCAACATATCCAAATAGATTGGAAGCACTGCATGAAGTGCCAATTTTAAATTTTATAGTTGAATAACTGTATTCAAGGTGCGTCATTTTAAGAACTTTGAATAAGATAGCAATCTCCTAGGATTCTTGGAATCTTACCATTTTTATGTAATATAAGTGCTTAGTAAACAGGTTTGTGCCTTTATAGAGGTGTAAATGTATGGTTGACTTCCCTATTAAAAAGGAGGGGTCAGGATAGCTACATATAGAAGGCATAAAGATAACTCCTACAAAGAAAATCACAATTAATATTACCTCTTCAAATTTCAAGAATTTTTTTTTAAAAAAAACCTTAATTTTACATGCAAACAATTTCCTAATTAATTTAGCATATATGTCTTCATAGACATAAAAATGCATACATATTTTTCTTCAAATAAACCGTCAGCATCACCCCAACAAACATACCTATTTGAAGTTGACTTGTTACGCCTCATTATCCATTTACTCGATAAATGATGCTCAAGGTGTTGAACACATTTTTCATAATCTTTGTATGCAACTTCAATGTTGTCTTTGGTCTAACTCATTTTCTACCAATTTGCACCTACACCCCCCCATTCAAAAAATGGCCCCCCAACTATTTATAAGTAAAGATGTAAATGAACCAATGCTCTTGATGAACGGCTCGATATCGGCTCAATTAATACTTGATCAAGAGTTTGAAGATTCTCTTAAAACTAGAAGGTTACATGAATCAAATTGGAACATAATCCAACTCGTTTCTTAATGTTCACGCGCAAGTTCAATAACTTCTTAACTGCTCCATCCTTATATGATATATTATTTAAATATAAATATACTTACTAAATTTTATTTAATTATATATTTAATAGTACTATATTATAATTTATTATCAATGTGCATATAAACTTAATACATTTTTTTCTTTTTTTTAATGAACTAGTTTGTTAGTACTTATCTATACTATTTGATTACAAGAAAGAATACTTACAACTTATATATTATTTTATTTATATGGTATATATTAATTAAATGCTAATTTGAAATTTACTTGTTTAATTAGATTTGTGTCGAGCAAGTCTACTATGGAAGCTATACATTTATTGAGAGATTTGATGGAGAAGTTCAGAGACAATAATGAGGATCCACATTTGATTTTTATTGATTTAGAAAAAGTTTATGATAAGATTCCAAGAGATATCCTCTGGAGAGTTGTTGAGAAGAAAGGTGCTGATATGACTTATATTCAAGTCATTAAAGATATGTATACTAGAGTTGTTACTTGTGTTCAACCCAAAGAGGATTGACCAAATATTTTCCTATTTTTGTTGGATTACATCAGGGATCGACTTTAAGCCCATATCATTTTTGTTTTAGTTATGGATGGTCTTACTGGAGGATGTAGGAGGATGTACCTTGGTGTATGCTTATTGCTGATGATATCCTTCTTGTGGATATGACGTGAGAAAAAGCTCAAAAAAACTTGAATTATGGAGGTCTACATTGAAGTCTAAAGGCCTTCATTTGAGTAGAACTAAAACTAAATACATGAAATGTAATTTTCGTCGTAATAACTTTAGTAACAAAAGTGTAACTTTGGGTGATCAAATTATTAAAAGGTGTGAACGATTTAGATATCTCGGGTCTGTTGTTCAAAGTGATGGTGATATAGATGGGGATGTTAGTAGTAGAATTCAAGTTGGTTGGTTGAAGTGAAGGAATGCTTCGGGCCATTTGTGTGATAAAAAAGTACCGCTTAGACTAAAAGTAAAACTTTATAAGATGGTGGTGAGACCTGCAATGCTCTATGGTGTTGAATGTTGGCCTTTAAAAGAGAAGCATAATAATAAGTTAAGTGTTACCAAGATGAGAATGATTAGGCGGATGAGAATGATTAGGATTAGGCGGATTAGTGGCTTTACACTTAGAGACAAAATGAGAAATGAATATATCCATGATAGGGGGTTGGTGTAGCTCCACTGACGGACAAAATTAGATAGAGTCGTCTTAGATGGTTTGGTCACATTAAACGTCGACCATCTGATGATCCGATTAAAAGAGTAGATGTTTTCGTTTCGGCTTATGTTAAGAAAGGCAGAGGTAGACCTAGGAAGACTTGGGCTTATTGTATAAAAAAGATCTTAGAAATGAAAATATGACTGAAAATATGACACTAAATAAGACCCAATGTAGAAAAAGGATTCATGTAGTCGACCCCACATAGTGGAATTCAGGCTTTGTTGTTGTTGTTGTTGTTGTTGTACGCGTTTAATTAGATTTGTGAAATCATTTATTATAAACTTTATATAAAAAATCAAACACTCATTTGAATTTTATATTGTTCACTATATCAAAAATTTACTACAAGTATAATTTTTTATTTTATATAAAAAATCAATTACTCATTCAAATTTTTAGCTTATTAAAAAAGGGGCATTTACATACATACCACAAAATTCTTATATACTAGCATATAGAACACCTAAACCCACACATTTCTATACACCACTCAAATCTTTGACATCACATAAAATATCATGACAAACGAAATATCATGATCACTAACTTTTTAAAAGTCCAATACAATGCATAGGCTTTTACTATCAAGTGTTATAAACATAAATATCAAATTTTAGGTGTCAGCTATATAAATGCATAAGAGCGGTGTGGTGTATGTAATTTTTTGTTAATTTAAAAAGATAAGTGCAAATCAAATATAATCATTAAAAAAAATTAAGCAAACCAGGTATGAACATATATGTGCAAGCTCAGCACAAGCACAAGCTCGAATTGAAGATTAACAACTCATGATTCTACTAAGCCATGTCCAATCAATGACATACTCAACTAAGATCAACACAATTACAGACCTGTTAATGAGGAGTCATTTTAGTTCAAAATATGGAAAACGTCGGAGTTATCTCCAAACTCTTTAAGCAAGAATAAAAAAAAGCCTCGTCAACTAAACTGATCAAAGTTGAAGTTAATGGTGTTAAAAATGAAATAATTTAAGAAAATATAATTTCTTTTTTAACTTTTAACAAATCTAATTTTCTACTTACCTTATTTACTCATGTGTAATGCTAATTTAATCATGTGGGTTACTTTATTATATTATACTGAAATACAATGACTTTAACTTTTTTGTTACAATGGAGTCAAATTAGCAAATATGTCAAATGAAAACTTTCTTGTTACAATGGAGTCAAATTAGCAAATATGTCAAACAAAAACTACTTAATACAAAAAAAAAAAAAACTCACTCACTTTGCAACCTGCACGATCTCAATCCACTATTGTTATTGAGAAAGTTATCTAATGTACACAAAAAAGAAGATCAGTGTGCAATTAGATTTCACTAAAAAAACTAAAGAAGGAAATACATTTTCTTAAGATGTCTCCATTTTTAATACCACTAACTTCAATTTATGTTAGTATAGATGTGGGAGTAACTTGGGCCCAATTTAAAGAGTCAAAGGAATAAATCAAACCTTTTTTATAGTTTGAAACTAAAATAGCCCCTCATAAATAGTCATGAGACTCTCTCTTTCTGTGTTTGTGTGCATGCATGTGTGGGCGTGGAGGTGTGAATTGGTGGGATTTCAAACTGCCTAAATATAATTATATCCTAGCTTTTTTTAGATAGGACGTATCACAATTTTGCCCATTAACTTAATAGTGAAATAAATAATGATGCTCCATTACCAGAAGAGATCATGTTTTGCAAAGTTTGCCCCAAAACAGCATTTAATTATGAGTTATCCACAACCAAAAGCTGAAATTAACAAACATTTTAATTTGCAACACCATTACCACCACAAGGGCTGTAAATGAACCAATGCACTCAATGAACAACTCGAACTCAGCTCGACGCAAGCTCTAAGTCCAATCTATAGTATACTCGGCTCGACTATGCTCGATTACAGCCCTAACCACCACCCAGCATCATCAAATTGGCCAAAAGGCATTTACAGAACACCACTGGTTTATTTTTCATGCGTAGAAAAGTGATACAGGGGTAATCTAAAGATCAAAAACCAAGGAGCAAAGTGAGAAATAAAGAGTAAATATAAAAGAATAAAAACGGTGCACTACAAAAAGATATTAACAAATGCAGCATAAGCATGAAAAGAAATTAAGCGTATGATTATAACCATCAGTTTGTGACCCTCCTCCCAATTATTTAAACATTGGCAACAATGAAAATATGTCAATAAAAAAATCACCAAATCCATAAAAAACGCATTACACTGGTAAAGTTCACACAGAACTAATTACCTCTATAATTAACACTTTGGGGTCCAATTCTTTAGCCCGTAAAACTTGGTTCCGACCAATTGTGAACTTTCCAAGCCAACTACCAAGATTTTTCAACAAGGACCGTTCCTCTGAACTTGATTTTATAAGATCTGATCTTAATAATACCTGAATAGGATCAATTTTTTAAAAATAAGGACTTCTTGATTAAGAAAAAATAACAATTACGTAAAGTAGAAAACAGAAAATGTACAACCTTGCAGTTCTCATAAGTAGCTTTAACAATTTCCTTATTCAGGGTCTTTGAGTTAACTTTATCTAAGAATTTTAGATACAAATCATGAAAATTTGGCTCAATACTTGCTCTGCAAATGATAACGCAACTGTGAATCACTCTGCAGAGAATATTAAAGAAAGAATATGGAAAGGAATAACATTAAACTTAGTTTTGTTAACAAAGCTACTACCTCTTCATCACCATATACTGTGCAAACCAGGGATAATACTGCTCTTTAAGAACTTCAGTAAATTCTTTTGCTTTTGCTTCCATATTTGCAGTAGAAATATTATTAACAATGAATAAAATTTTGTCCTGAACTTCTGATGCAGGGGCCTGAATCGAAATGAAAAGAAAGATTAAAAGAGAAAAGATGACGGAAGAGAGAGAATGTAGTCAAATGGTGCCTCAAGCAGTAGAGGCCACATGATGCCAGCTTCGTGTAAAAATGATATAAGCAGAAGCTTTGCATTGAAATTTCAATTTAAAATGTCTCTGATTGTTAAAGAAAAAACAGAAATGAAGAATGCCTGGTAATATGATTACTTCCATTGGTGTATCTCTCTGTTCAGCTGCTGCGACAAGCGTTTCAATGTTCAAAGCAGCCCCAAATCCTGTGTTTTGAGAGGGTTGCCGAAGCACAACTATAAGGCAGGTCAATCACAGAAATTAATATGAAAAGCATATTTTGGTATTTAAGCATACTGCTTTGAAACAGTATCATTTGTCCAGTATATCTATAGAAGAGTATATCGTGAAATACAAGCTTTTCCAACAATAAAATAAGTAATTTAATCACCAGAAGTTGCCATGTTGCGGGGAGGACGTAGAAAAGCAGGAGAAGGTGAAGCAGTAGTTGCAGAACCAGCCAAATGCTGAGAAGATGGAGGTTGAGGTTGAGGTTGAGGTTGAGATGCTGTCAACTATTCACGTAAAAAATGGAAATTTGAAATCAAATCAAGGGATCTCATACAATAAAAGATAGAAAGACAAAATAAAGCCAAAATGCACACAGGCTGAAGGCAAACTACCTTAGGGTTTGTGACAGATTCTCCTGATGAAGACAAGGAAGAAGGTTGCCCGGGATTAGATAGAATAGGCTTGGCATAGCTTACAGGATTTGGAGTAGGTTTGAGTCTGTCCCCGAGAAAACCTTGATGCCTAAGCTGTGGTTGCATCTGCTGAAAAGGAGGAGGCTGTTGCCCAAACTGCTGAGTAGAGCTGGAACCAATTAGCGGCCATGAACCCTCAATTGCCTATACTTCCAAATAAATTAAACAAAAAATTTTAGATTCAGAAACTACAAGAACAAGAACACTGCTAACAAAGAAAGTGGTTTTCATGCACAAACATATACGCTAACAAGCGCACACTAGCATGCATATGGTGTAACAATAAACTAATTGTTGCAGGTCCTTCCTATAATTACTATTTATCTCCGTGATGTAGAAACACTATTGTAGGTAGCCATGTTCCTATATAAGTGAAACATAAACAAAAGAAGTTCACATAGCAATCATATCAGAAGCTCAATTACACAAAGGCGTGCATCTAATTATAAGTTCATAAAAAAGAGGGGAAAAAAGACAATATATGGTCAAAATCCCCTTAAAATCAATACATTGGGTTAAAGGGAAGCCAACTAAACAGAATGTCAACCAATTATAAAACAACATTCCACATTATTATCACCGAAAGAGAAAGAAACAATTATTAATAAAACCAAAGACCTCAATTGTTGGCCGCAAAAACCTACTCAAATCTTTGAAAGGCAAATAATAAGCTATATGTGAGGCAGGAATATTTTTATATTAAAAAGATAAAAAATTTGGCAAACGCAAAGAAGAGAAGTAAATATTTTCCTAGTTAAAACACTTAAAGAAGAAAGGAATATCGCACAGAATCAGTATATTGGGCTAAAGGGAAGCAAGCTACACAGAAGGTCAACCAATTATAAAATAACTTTATTCATTCTTATCTCTGAAAGAACAGGAAGCAGTTATTAATAAAAAAAATACCTCAAGTGTTGGCCGCAAAAACCTACCCAAATCTTTGAAAGGTAAAACATAAGCTATATGTCAGGCAGGAATAGTATTGTTTTAAGAAGATAAAAGTTTTGGCAAATGCAAAGAAGAGAAGCAAATATTTTTCAATTTAAAACACTCAAAGTATTTTGGGGGTCTAAAAAGTTTAGAAAATAAATTACGGCTAAACACTTTAATTTTCCTCGAAAAAAGAAGTCTAAAGAACATCAATAAAGTTATACCTCCATGCTTTCAACAGAAGCTTGTGCAGAAACTTGTTGCATCTCTGTAGAGAGATTGTGTACTCCATTTGATTCCACCTGGCTTGAAGAAACTCTAGCAAGAGTCCGTTCAATCACAGAAACCAAGTCAGCATGTGTGCTGCGCAAATGAGATATCTGCAAAATATGATTGCAATACTGTGGCCATTCCACCAAACGATCCATGAACTGCTCCAAAGCTTTAGTGCCAAACATAAACATCTGCAAACAAGCATTATTATATAAAATAGATTAAAAGAAAACAAAATAATAATTTCATCAATTGATTGCATACCTTTGAATCAATAGATTTGCGTAATGCATCAAGAACGCCACGCAAGGCAATACCCAGAAAAAGATGAGTCACAAGCTGGTGCTTTATAAGCAAACCTGAAAACGGAGAATGAAATATGCCATTGGAGCATCCTTATATGAACATAATCTGCAAATAATGATAAAAACCATTGCTCTCGATGAAAACAAAATAACAAAGAACTACTTCTCCAAATCCCCAGAAAAAAAAATATGTAAACTTTGCTTTAAATAATGACAAAACTTCTGCCAACAAACTTGAGATTGTTTACCAAGCACTGTTCTAATTGCTGAGACATTAAAGCATTAATAAAATGATTCCCACAGATTCTACACAAAAGCATCAATCAAAGGTGGTTGTTTTGCCTGAACCCCTTGTGAATGCTCTTTAAGAAGACTCACTACCCCATTCAAATGGTTTCCTTGTAATTTCCAATATCAAGTATGCACCATATGCCAGCAAATGATTTTCATCACTTAAATCTCTCAATATAATGGCCAAAATATGAAATAGTAGATAAGAACCTCTTTGTGTAAAACTGCAAATATTCTTTGGCCGTCATCTTTAATAACAGAGATCAAATTGATATTTCTGGATTCCTACTGGCTGCCCACTAACAAGGTAATAAGGACTGCTTGAATAGGAACTGTGCAAGGTATCATGGCCTTGCCTCATCCCCAAGCACCCAGCTTGCGCTTAACATCAGTGCGTAGAAGCAGCCAAGTTAACAACTCACAAAGAAAAAAAAAATTAAAAAACACTATCATTTTCCTACCTTCATACTTAGGCGACCATTGTTCTAACTAGAAAATACGTCTAGCACATGCACAAGAAAATTAAAAACTAAATAAAATTTTTAAGAAAAGAAAATATTATCATTAGAACATATTAATTTTTGTTTCGAAATAAAGTTATATACAAACAAATGAACTTTGTATAAAATAATATAAATTTAATGAACACGAATAAAGCAATAATTTATAAGTATTAATATACATTATCAATTAAAAAAACTTGAAGTTATTATGATGATTATATTATAAACATTATTTTAAAAAAAGAAGAAGAAAAAAACTTATAGCAAATCCAAAAGAGCCCAAGCAATTTTTTTTTTCAATTCTATAGTTTGTAATTAATTAATATAAATAGCATTTCTTAACTTATAATAATCATATTAAATAATATTATAGTTTATACCACAGTTAATTTTAGCATAATATACATATAATTACTAAATATGGTTAAATTTCATCGTAAAATATATTAGAACCATACTAGCTGTGATTAAAAAATTATTAAAATTTATTAGGATAAAAAGTTAAAAAACATAATAAGCAATTCTATAGTATTTTCATATGTTCAGATACATATTATATAAACACGAGTTTCAAGTAATAAATTATGGGGTATTACAAAATAATTTGATTTAAAGTACAATGCTCTAATGACATCCTATTTAGTGTCTACATTGGAGTCTAAAGGCCTTCGTTTAAGTAGAACTAAAACTGAATACATGGAATGTAATTTTAGTAGTAATAGCTCTAGTGACAGAAGTGTGACTTTGGGTGATCAAATTATTAAAAGGTGTGAACGATTTAGATATCTTGGGTCCGTTGTCCAAAGCGATGGTGATATAGATGGGGATGTTAATAGTAGAATTCAAGTTGGTTGGTTGAAGTGGAGGAATGCTTAGGGCCTTTTGTGTGATAGAAAAGTACCGCTAAGACTGAAAGGAAAATTTTATAAGACGGTGGTGAAACCTGCATTGCTCTATGGCGCTGAATGTTGGCCTTTAAAAGAGAAGCATAATAATAAGTTAAGTGTTGCCGAGATGAGAATGATTAGGTGGATGAGTGGCTTTACACTTAGAGACAAAATGCGGAATGAATATATTTGTGATAGGGTTGGTGTAGCTCCTGTGACAGACAAAATTAGAGAAAGTCGTCTTAGATAGTTTGGTCATATTAAACGTCGACCATTAGATGATCCGATTAGGAGAGTAGATGTTTTAAATTCGACTTGTGTTAAGAAAGGCAGAGGTAGACCTAGGAAGACTTGGGCTTATTGTATTAAAAATGATCTTAATTTACTAGAACTAAATGAAAATATGACACTAAATAGGATGCAATGGAGAAAAAGGATTCATGTAGCCGACCCCACGCAGTGGGATTAAGGCTTTGTTGTTGTTGTTGTTGTAAAGTACAATGCTTACCCACTAATATAGCACTATATTGCGGGTTCCTAAACCCCGGAAGTGAAAAGTAAAGTGTTGCGTTCCGTAGTCAACAACTAGGATAAATTTTTTGTCGAAAATTCATTAAATCGTGTCAATGCTAGGGCGTCCACTGGAATCAACATGTAGTATACAGTCAAAAGTGTGCAAGGGCCGCTACACCAACGTCGGGGTGTAAGGTCAAATAAACAAGGGTTCCCACAAAATGGACAAATGCAGACAAAGAAGTTAGTCTATGAAATTAATCTTATGATAGAATCTTGAAATATAAGTACTCTCACAAGTAAATTAATAGAATTAGGATACTACGAGTCATAGAAAAATAAATATCTTATACATTCAAGAAACTAAAAAGATTGAACAAAAGACTAAAGAAATTGATGGCTTTGGGCTTAAACTTTAGTGATCAGGTAGGAGTCACATTAAAAATATTGTAATTGTAATTATAAATAAGATTTTGAAAGATAATGTTATAAAAATTAATACAAATTTGAGATAACATTTTAATCTTATAAGTGTTTATGCTCCTCAAATAGGTTTAGATATAGGTTCAAAAGAGAAATTTTGAAATAACCGGGAAGAATTAATGCAAATGATATCTCTTGAAGAAAGAATATTTATTTGAGCAGATTTCAATAAACATTTTGATAGAGTGGTAGAAGATTTTAGAAATATTAATGGTGGCTATGGTTTTTGAGTGATTAATGAAGAAGATAGAACGATATTAGATTTTTTTTCAGCTTATAATTTTGTTATTGCTAATACTTTATTTAAGAAAAGTGATGAGCATATTATTACTTATAAAAATGAATATAATAAAACACAAATTGAGTATTTTCTTATGAGAAAAAGGGTATTTTCTTATGAGAAATTTTCTTATGAGAAAAAGGTTATTGCCGACAATGTAAAAATTATGAAGTCATTCCAAGTAAAAATTTAAGTACTTAACATCGATTATTAGTTTTGACTTTTATGAAAGGAAGCTGGAAGATAAAAAATATAATGAAATATTGTCATAAAATTAAATGAAATACCTAAAAGACAAAAATAAAATTATTTTTACGAGCAAACTTTAAGATTTCAAGATTTAAAATGTTCATGAAGAAGCTAATTCTATGTAGGATAAAGTAACAAGAGCTATTAGACAAGTGGCAAAATATGTACTTGGAGAATTAAAAAATAGTTTTTATAACTAAAAACTGTTGGCATTAGAATAATAATGTGCAAGAAAAGATAACATATAAGAAATTATGTTATAAAAAATGATTTAAATGTAAAAGCTTAGAGAACTGCGAAAAATAAAAAGGGCCCCTAGAGAGTTTAAGAGAACAATTTGTGATGCTAAATATTCTACTTTTAATAATCTTTATAATATATTAGATACTAAAGAGAGCGACAGATATACGTATAAACTAACCAAACAAAGAAAAAAAGTAAAGATTTAACTCAAGTAAAGTGCATTGAATATGAAAATCAAAAATTGTTTTTCTTAAATAAAGATATTAAGCATATGTGGGTGCAATGTTTTTGATAAATTTTTCAATGAAGTGTTTCAAAATACAATCGACCTTGGTGATTTTAATATCGCTAATAATAATAATTTTTTTTATTTTTATCGTCGCATAAGTAAAAAAGAAATTGAGATTGCTTTAAAGAAAATCAATGGTGGAAAATTAGTAAAACCTCATGAATCCCAATTGAAGTATGAAATTATTTAGGAGATCTGGGAGTTTTTTGGCATACTAAACTTTTTAATATTTGTTTAAAAACTAAAAAGATGTCTGATGAGTTGAGGAAGAGTATTTTGTTCCCAATTTTTTTTAAAAAAAGGAATGCATAGCAATTAAGTTAATGTCTCATACATTGAAGTTATAGGAGAGAGAAACTGAATATAGGTTAAGACGTAATACAAAGAATTCTAATAATCAGTTTGAATTTATGGCAACCAAGTCTAGCATAGATCTTAATTTATTAGAATTAACTGAAAATATCACTCACAATTGGACACAATGGGGAAAAAAGATTCATGTAGCCGACCCCGTTTAGAAGGATCAAGGCTTGTCGTTGTTTTTGATGCTTACCCACTAGTATACGTACATTTGCCAAAAATCATTGAAATAAAAAGATGGATTAAAACTTCACATAAGCTTTTTCAAAGATAATAAATTTACTTGTATAATTTTTTGACATTATCCTTGGTCTTATCTAAAGTTAATCATCTCATAATAATACAAATTCCAATTCAACCCAAATTAAGCGGAACCGATCTAGGTCAATTCAACTTCCTCTCGTGGCTATGTAGACAATACAAAGTACCAAATTCCATGAAACTTAGTACAGATTGACCCAACCCAACCCAGTTCAAATGGCCCGACTGAAGTTTGTTGGATTCTTATTCTAATGTGCATGAGGGCAAGCTTCATAGCAGTTGATGCTCCCCCTCTTCTATAAGTCAGCCTCCATTCCTTCAAATGCTTTGGCTTAGGGAGGGGTGGCCTACATGCTGCTGCACCAAGCTCATCAAAGTGTTTAGTGGTTGTCGGCAACCAGGGAAAATCACAAAGGTAGTGCCCTTAAAAGCTATTTTTACACAATAACCCCAGAAAATCAATTACACCAACCAAAAACTCAAATGAAAGGAACCAAACATGCAAAATAATAAACTAAGAGTTTGATAACGGATATGTTAGCATGGCAATGCAGGGCAGCCCATCATGAGCTCCATAAGTAGAGGTTTAAAATTCGATAGATCATGCCAAAGTTCTACATCAGAAACCAAGATTTCCTATGAATCAGACCAAGGAACATGACAATTTTTTGCATTCTTTAAAGATGAAGACGCATTAATTCACCATTTACCATAAAATTTAGGGCGCACTTAAGGATGTGGCTTACTCCATAGAATGGAAAATCTGATTTCCTTTAAAACAGGAATTTTACAGGTAATTAGAGCAACTAACTAAAAAAGAGAAATAAGTTACATTCAAGAATATTTATTCTCCAATAGAGCATTCTTAAAGCAAGTTCTCATGGGTTCTTGTCAAGAAAAATGACTGCCTCAAAAAAGGGGGGAAATCTACTTAAATCTATTTAAACTTTGTAAAAATATGTAAAGGGACGATTTATCACGGTTCATAGGAGAGGTATAAGGAAAACACAAACTGCATTTTCCTATGTATTACCCACTTTTCTTTCCTTTCTTTTCTTTGCCAAACAAATCTGTCCTAAGATGTAGTTCACAAGACACAATCAAAAATAAATCTGCCGCATAAACTAAATATAATCAAGCAACTTGTAACATAAGGTACACTAAAATTTTAACAACTATATACGTACTTTCTCACTGTTTAAGTATTTTTCCAAGAGAAGCATTCACCAAAAGAAGTAGCGCACAAAAGAAATGATACATTGAACAAGAGTAGACAAAACACCAGCACGAAATACTTCCACAATGTGCAAGATTTGTGGAAGTACTAACATGAAGCCAGTTTTTGCAAACAAGAAGGTAAGGCTCATACAGTATGTCCTCACCAAAAAGAATAGCTGCTATCTTAAGTTGTCTGTCAGGATATTTGGAGAAGAACTTGTACTCCTCGAATAAATTAGAAACCATGCATTCATAGATCTTCTGCTCCCTGTAATATCATTAAATATTCAGACTTGAAAATTAAGCAAAACCCTCAAAAGAAAACAAACTTATAATGCTTACAAATTGTTTATGATTTAGAATCAACAAATAAAATTTATGCAAAAAAAAACAGACTGCAAATTACTTCAAGAAGACATTAGACGAGATGATTGTATGATGACACAACATAAGAGAATTGAAATTACTACAAGGGCAGTGTGTTATTGGAAGCTTAAGGTTTAAACCAGCATAGGAATAACAAGCAACTGGACTAGATTGGTGATGCTTCGATAAGCAGATAAAATTTATAAATAAAAATAGAAGAACCAAATAAAATCAGCCAGTCAATATAACTGAACATCATACTAGTGAATATTCAAGGATGCAATATTAAAAGAAGGAACTAGATAAATGTTGTTGCTGAGTAAATAGCAAGCGGGGTTAAGAGATAATGAGAGGGTACAAATAAGTCAAGGCTTGCAAGGGCTTAATTAATCCTAATCTGAGCTAACCAAATCAAGTAAATTCATATTGAGTAGTGTCATTTCACCAAAACTATTACTGATGGTTCCCAATACTCTTCTGATCTCTGGTCAAAAACTATAATCATCCTGTATCCTGTGCCATTTTGTTTAGAAGTCCAGAGGTCTCTCATATCTTTATATGCACTATAGTAGCATACACAGTTCTCAACTTTGACAAGCCGCTTACTACAAATGCCACATCTTGCATGACAACTTTTATATTAAAATTCTGCAATATTAATCAACTGCCATATAAAACGTGACATTAATTTATATTAAAACCTGCAAATTTATTTAACAATTAATTAACACAAAAAAATGGTACTAACTTTTATTTTGAACTTGAATCCATTTATATTTTAAATATGTGTATTATATTTAATTAATGTTCAACTATTTTACTAACTTACAAAAATAAACTCACAAAAAACGTCACTAACTTATAATTGAATTATTTTATTTTAATCTATTTATTAACCTTCAAACATTTCAGCCCATGCAAAAACCTTTATCGTAAAACACAGACTAACTCGGTTTTTTCTCATTTCAACATCCCTGCAGAAACTAGTTACAAACTATTAACTGGAAGAAACAATATTCTTGCATGGTCATTCTATCAAAATATCACACAAAGATCGTAAACATTCACACAGTGGCAAGACAAGTCATCTAAGATGCATATCGTGAATAGAAACATGCCCATGTAAGTTCATAGTACGGTTCAAAGAGGGATCACAAAAGAAGCAATCCATCATAGATGAGCTCAAGTGCAATTGCATATGCATTACATCCTGATTTTTTATGGCTTAGTTCGATAATAAAATGATTATTAATTTTTCTAATTATGTATATATCTATTCAATTTTAGATGATTTATGGGTGATTATCATAACTGGGTGATGTTTTATAAAAAGGTTTTGGAGCGGAAGTTTCAAAATTTTAGAAAAATCATGCTAGTTGTCAAAACTCAAGAGGAAAACAGAAGAAGATCAAAGAGCATGAGAAGATCTAAACTATGGCCAAACAGAATGAATTTTTTTAAGATGATTAATTGTCTTTCTATGTTTTACCTTGCTTTAATTCCTATATATGTATTCAGATTAATTGTTGAGGATTAATCTATGAATAATAAAATTAGAAAACCATATATGTGAGTACAAATCTCAAAATTCAGTGATTCTAATCTATGAACAAGAAAATTGGAAAACCATAACTGTGAGTATAAATCTCAAATTTCAATGATTCAGACGCCAATGGATTTCTTTTGAGAAGTAAATTATTTTAGCAGTAATTGATTAAAATTTAACATTAATAATTAATCTTATCACATGTAGCATGAGCAATATGCTCATTGATTTTTGAGTATAACTATACAAGCATAGCATTTGCATGCTTGTTGTGAGAATGATGAGAATGACATTGAGATGATAAGAGTATGATTCTGAGACTAATTGAATGATATACACGTATGCCATGTACAAGGGAATGTTAGATGATTATAATTCATCACGAAAATGAGTATTTAATTCATGAAAATATCTGCTTCCGTTTATGGATGAAAGTTTCACACCAACAATGAATGAGAACTTCATAAGAAATTGGCTCCATCATCGTGTAGAAATTTTGAGAAATTAAATTTTGGAAAATTGGTTCAAGTATTTTGGAAAAATTTTCAATCCTGTTCACTTGCTCCATTAATAATCTTACTAAAATTTGTGTGCGCCTTTTTCCTAGATAATACTTTATCAGTTGATAACTACATGCAATGAACAAGTGCTGATTGCACAAATGCCAACATTTCTTAAAAGTGAAAAATAAACCCAGATCAAGCTATTACCAACCCATAAAGTATTATCCCCAAAAAAGGTGCATAAAAATTACATGAATAAAGCTAGTCATAGATCATAATGAAATGCAAACATTTGGAAAGAGAAATGTACTTGAAAGCAATATTTCGAAAGAATAAATCAAGAACAGCAGCTAATGTGAACCTGGCATATCTACCCACCTCCTTTCAGAAGATTCTTTGAAACGAGCAAGCATTTGAACCATGTCTTCAACTGAACGCTCTCCAGCAAACATTTGTTGAAAACAAGCATTTGCTTCTGCCTCAATCTCATCAGTGCTCCAATCAGCATTGCATACAGAGCTTTGATTTTTTGTAGTACACAGAACAACAAGCCTATTCAATTCTTCAGAAAGTTGGAGAGAAAATTGCCCAGAGTGGGCTTGAAGAACCTGCAACGTGGTATATAATAATGACCATACTGGCGTGGGTAAGTTTCTTTTTCATTCTTTCTTTCTTCCACTAGGCCATTTATTTGTTTAAAAATGACAGATTTCCAACATTTAAATGAAGGTGCCCTGCCAGGATGATATTGAGTCGAGCTCAACCAACTCATCCCAAACTTGAAATAGAATATTTTAATTTAGACTTGAGTCCAGTTTAAATAGATTAAAGATTGATCAATTTTAAGCTTCAAATCAACCATGCATATTAAAGTATGTTTGGTGTGCGTGTGCATGTATGCCAACTATTATTATTAAAAATGCACTTATGAGTCGAGCAGAATGATGTACAAGCCTTGCACATAACTTGCAAAAGAGACCTGAACTTGTGACAAAGCCCGTACATAACATCATTCTTTCGCATCACATCATAACACTATAAAGTCAACTTCAACCTGGAATGAAATACTAGTTCAAATTTCATGTTTGGTTCAGCATTTTATAAAAGAAGGAAGTCACAGATACGTCCCATTGGTTCTCAAAGTCATTAAGCCCATCTTTTATCACGGTACTATTAGTTTTTCTTGGTGGTTCACCTTTGCACACTATTTCAGTCGTTAGCTTTCGCCCTTGATATTCTCATCATTAGCACTAACGATTTTTCACGCACGTACTTCTTCTCATGATTGATGCTTGATGTATCATCCACACCCCTGATGTCCCTTATTCACCATTTCTCAATTTATGCCACCTCAACCGCTTATTCTCTAGTCTCACAATCTCAATAGTATTAGCAATCTTTAACTTCTTTAATTACTTTATTATTTATATGTAAGATTCTTTTTGGTTTTAGTGCAGATCGTTGGAAATTAATGTTGAATGTGTCATTATATTTATTAAAAGATATTGGCTTGATTTATTTAAATTTGGTAAATTGAATGGTTATTATATGCACTCAATATATGTATATACTGTATAACTGAAATTAAATAAATAATAATAATAAATAAATAAAATAACAACAACAATAAAATCGATCTGAAATAACTGTCAGACGGTTTCTACTATTAGAAGTCAAAAGGAGACTTGTTTCATTCATAGTCTTCAGAAAATGCACGGAGAACGAGAGGAAAAGCGAGAGACGGAATAATATGGAGAGGAAGTCGCCGTTTGCGTGCGTAGGAGATAACATCGAGCCCTAGCCAATAAGTCAAGGAGAAAGGAGGTCGAGCAGCTTCAGCATTGTGCTTGTTGTGCTCGCGTGCACAATGTGTTCATCGTAATAACTGAAATTAAACAAATAATAATAATAAATAAATAAAATAATAATAAAATTGATTTGAAATAACCGACAAACGGTTTTGACTATTAGAAGTCGAAGTAGACTCGTTTCATTCGTAGTCTTCAAAGAACAAACGAAGAACAAGAGATGGAGAGCGAGAGATGGAAGAAGAAGAAGATAGAGAGGGAGAAAGTGACCCCTTGCGTGCATAAGAGAGGGTTCGGTCGAGGAGAAAGGAAGGTGATTGAGCAGCTTCGACGTAGTGCTTGTTGTGCTCGAGTGCTCGCTCTGTTTTGGCGTGTCGAACCCTAGTCGAAGGAGATTAAAGGAAGAAGAGGAAGGATTGTACATGTGGTGAAGCAAACCTCACGTGCGTGAAGGAGGAATCAAAGCCAAAGGTGAGGAGGCAGTGCCTTCGTGCGCTGCTACCATGAGAAGCAATGGAGGAAGAGAAATCAAGCCCTAGTCGAGGAGGCAGCGTGTTGTGTTGCATTTAGTCATTATCGAAGTTAGAGAAATAAGAAGAAACCCAATAAAAAAAATTTGTGACTATCGAGAGGAAAGGAAACTAAGAAGTGTGGGAAGAGCAGAGAGCCGAGCACTATATTAAGGTAAGAGCAGGATTTAAGTTATCAAATTATACATATTTAATTAATTTGATATGTTATGATAGCAATATTAAAATTTTATGAATTTAAAATAGATATTGTAAATGGAAGATTTTGGTGCGAAGGAGAAAGGGCACGACTCATGCAAGCTTTGTGTGCAAGCTGGAAGAACCAAACCTTATTGATATTTACGATTTTTATGATGTTAATTACTTGAACTGAAATATCAGTTTACTTACTAAATGCTATGATACCGAAGTTAACCCAAACAGTGAAAACATGAATATTATTGCTAACTCAATTGAGGATACAATTAGGACTCAAAATTAAAAAAAAAAAAACCACTTGCAAACAAACAACAAAAAAAAGAAGATACAAATAATCTCGACGAGTAGGAGGTCTGAAGAGGTGTAGGGGTTGGCAGCTGCGATGAAGGTCGAACGACAGAAGACCATCGATGAAGAAGTAACTTGTTGCTATTAAAGGGGGGAGGTAAGTGAGGGTAGCAAGGCAGCGAGAGTGGAGGCGTCGAACCGCAAGAAATTAAGAATGTCGGCGGCGGTTGGGAATCTGCTAGGCAGAACGGGAGGTCTGCAAGAGACAACGAAGGTGGGTTGTGGCCTACTGGGAGGAAGGTGACAGCTTGCTGGAAATAGTTAGGAGGGATGCGGCCTGCTGGAGGAAGGTGGTAGTGTGCTGGAAACAGAACGGAGGGTTGCAGCCTGCTGGGAGGAAGGCGGCAACTTGCTGGAAATAGAAAGAAGAGCTGCGGCCTGCTCGGAGGAAGGGGCAATTGGCTGGAAGCATGACGGAGGGTTGCGACCTGTTGGGAGGAAGGCGGCAACCTGCTGGAAGTAGAAAGGAAAGCGGCAACTTGCTGGAGGCAGGGCGGTATTGGACGGTGGCCTGCTGGCTGCAAGGAAACGATTGTGCGGCGGCCTGCAAGGGCGCATTGAAGGGAGCCGGCGGGATCTGACAAGCAGGGTAGCTATTGGCGGTTGTTAAGGAGAAGTAGGAGTGGCGGCAGCCTGCAGGGGTGCATGGAAGAGTTGGAATAAAGGGATAATCACCACCTTGTATGAGGTTACAGCCGGAGCACCCCCTCGTCGTCGTATACAGTCCTCAAGAGGGAAAACACTAAGGCATATCTTGAATTCAGATTCAATCCAAAAAACTAAGGAACTCTAACCACAACACTTCATATTTATATTGAGGGTTAAGACCTATTTTAGGTAATGTTTAAAATAAGACGGAATAAAAAATATAATTAGAATTTCAGATTAAGCAAAGATTAAATAAATGAGGGGAATCGAGATTTGGAAAGGAAAGATATCAGATTTCAACAAAAGAAATTAGATTACGGATTTGGCAGAGACTTATCATAGAAGGGTGTTAGGAGGGAAAAAAAGAAAAGGAAAGGGAGGGAAATGGGAGGGAGAAAAAAAAAAAAAGTGACAGAGGGCGCCTTGAGGATCGGTCGATCCAGCCAAGTTGTGGACCGAACCCTAGGCCGGTCCTCCCCCAAAAACCTGTGTCATGCTAATAACAGGTTTAACTAAATCTGATAAAAAAGGCATAATATATTAGAGGTTGAATCAATTAGAATTATAAGGGAGAAAGAGGAACACTGTGCAAGGAAGCAAACCAAACCTTTTAAGACAAGGAATCGTATACTTAATTATATGTATCATTTTAAATACATGTCATTATATATATTTAAATATTTCTTTTATGATGGGATTCTTATAGTTATATAAACCTTGAACTCATATAGGTGATGGTCAAGGAAGTGAAGTGATGGAATAAGCTCTTGCAACGGTTTTTTAAGGCAAATATGTGTAATTACTTTTTTTTGTATGTATTAAATTAAAATTTTATTAAATGAATCATTGTATTAATACTTCACCTATTTAATAAAAATAATTATTAAAATTAATTAAATTTTTATTAAATAAATCATTAAACTAATTATTTTTCTGTGGATTGTATTTTGTGAATTAGTAGTGCCTCTTTCATCTATTGAAAGTCTTTAAAATCTATAAAATTAAATTAAACGTTAATACCATCCGACCGGAGATCCTGACTTGGTTAATTCTAAGTAATCAAGTCAAGTCGTGACACATACATTATAAAAAATAATAGTACTCTAATAAGCATTGATACACTTTGTGCTTTTAACAAAAAAAAATACTTTGCACGTTGCATCGCGCTTGACACTTCCAAAATGCTGATGTCAAGACCCTTTTCCTACTTTTCTCCTTTTACAATATTAATGCCAAAATATACAACAACAACAACAACAATCCTTAATCCCACTAAGGATGTGTTGGGGGGGGCAACGGTGCGTTGCCGCACCACAGTTTTTCTTATTTGACAAAACTGTATTTTGTCTGCGTCCTCAAAACGCTGCAACTAAAATCTGTATTTTCCCATCATACCTAGTTATTTGCGTTAGCTGCTAGAGTGCTACAGTCTTACCTTTTCAAAAAAATATATATATAATAGCCACCAAAATTTTTTAAACAACTATTTCACATCCGCTTATTCAAACAATTATAGCTGCCCAAACAAACCCTAAGTGGGGCCGGCTAAATGAATCATTTTTCTCCATTGCGTCCAATTGAGTTTCATATTTTCATTAATGCCAAAATATACATAAATAGAAAAAAGTGAGAAAAATAAATATATTTTATAAAAAAGTTTAAGAATATTCTTCATATTTTTTTCTAAGACTGATTTGTAATTTGCATTATCTAAAAGAAATCATTATGACATAACAAACATAGATCGATAAAATAATAAAAGCATAAGATAGAAACATAAGACAAAATAGAATACTATTGCTAATAGTCAATCTATTTCTTATTTTTATAGAATATTCTAATTATTAGAAGATGGTTCACTTCATAACCATAATTAATTAGAAAATTTTATAGTATATCTCTCTTTACAGAGTTGCCTTTTTTTATTTTTCTTTTTTTTATTTTTGAAAATATAAAATTTTTCCTGGCATGAAATCATTTCACTAACATAATAATTAAAACTAGTTAAATTTAATTTAATTTAAAACGTGATATGGAACAAAATCATACACATGTTAATCACAGTGGTCATGTTTGAATTAGAAAAGGCTTAAATGATAACTTTTCTATAGCATTGTTGGCCTCTAAAACTCTAGTGGACTGTACAAGAAATAATAGTCATGGAAGACAAGGCACACGGGCACATACATTGGAAAGAAGAAAACCCAACAGACAAAATTAGGTTGATCAGGCTGCTCACAAATTACTCCTACATGTTGATTTGATAACATGGAATTGGACATCAAATATACCAAAATTTCCATGATAAAATAATTTCTCTGCTAGAACTTGGAGTTCATCTAGATCTTGTTGCAAAATGAAGTGTTATAAGATAATTAACTGATTTTGTAGGTGAATGACAAAGCCTAACGGGCCAATATAGATTAATCAGCCTATTCTAGCCATATTTAAGTGCTCCAAATCAATCTGACTTGATTTATATATTAGAAAAACGGTTTCATATTTATTGAGATGATAAGAGAGTATAGTTACATGTAGTTAGGAATAAAGTGAAAAAAAAACCTCAAAATCAAAAGTTTTAAAACAAATATTCAGTTCAGATATATTATTTATTTTCAATTCAAATTAATAAGTGATAATCATCATATGCATGCCTGTAAATAACATAATGGAAACAAAAACCCATATTATAAATTAAATTAGGGGCATTTAAATATATACCACACAATTCTTATGTATTTACAAATCTAACACCTAAGCTTGCTTATTTACATACATAGCATTCAAATCTTTAGTATCGCATAAAAAATACCTCAATTAGTAACTTTTTAAAAGAGATATACACCTTTTCATGTATAGGTTATGACACCAAAGTGTTATAAATGTAAATATCAAACTTCAGGTGTTAGATGAAATGCACCTTTTCATGTATAGGTTAAGACACAAAAGTGTTATAAATGTAAATATCAAACTTTAAGTGTTAGATATGTACATATATAAGAATTATGTGGTGTGTATGTAAACTTAAAACTATAGAGTAAAATTAATCAAAATAAGTAATTATATTAAATTTCAAGTAGGGATGGGATGATTTCAAATCCATAGTTTGTGTCTGCATCACATGATTAACAAATCAAAAAATAAAAAAAAATATTAAATTTCAAGTAAAAAGATAAATTATGGTGTATAAAGTACAAAATTTTATGACAATAGCAAATAAATAGAAGCTATTTATGACAATTATAATTATATTACAAATTACAAAAACACTACAAGATAAACTCAGAAACTATTGGGATTCACTCCTAATTTTTATTTTTTCTATTTTAAAATATCGTATATAACAAAAACATCACTAAGTCATTACTTTTTTGACAAATTATATATAATATATATATATATATATATATATATATATATATATATAATCAAAACAATTAAATTATACACCCTAGATTACTTTATTTTAAGCTGTATAAGAAACTTCATCTGAATTCTTATTGACTCTTAATTTTGTGAAAAAGGATGTATTTAATCATTTTACTAACTTTTTAAAATATTTCAAAATTCATCATATTAACTTTCTCCATATGGTGCATAGGGTGCTTGCTAGTGTAAATAGAATTTTGTAGGGAGATGATTTAACACAAATGCAAAAACAATGAAAAATCCAGAAAAGGAACCTTCAAGAATATAGACAATGCCTCCAGGTATGCACTCATAATAGATGCTCTAGATTGGTCCAAAGATCCATCAGGTATATCGCCCATATTTGATAGTTCTGAAAGAAATTTAAGGCAATCCTGCAGAGGAAGAGCATCATTTATAACTAGCATGGAGATAACCAAACAAGAAATAAAAGGGGTCTAAAAACTACATCACCTGAAAGAAGGCATCTTTGTGTGTGTTTAAATTATCAGTTAACCACTTTTCTAGGGCTGTTTGCTCCTTTCTAAAAGAAATAGTGGCTAATTTGATGCCAAAAGAAGAAGGAGCCACCTCCAATACAGTTGCTAAAATCTACAAGAGAAACATATAAGAACAAAAAACAAGCAGATTAAAATAAAATTAAATCCCGCCTTCTCCTCCCGGAGCTCATAAGGCTCCACCCATGAACAAAGGGCCAGTGTACTTGTATGTGGTAAAACGAAGCAGATATAGTAAGTAATAGAAATGGTGCGTAGATCTGAAATGTACTATAATAAAATAGTAGTTGAAAAGCAAACTTATGGAACAAAGCTGAACAAAGGATCCATTGTGTGATACAAAAAGCTAAAAACATACTAAAATAGACTACTACTCCAAGAGTTGACGCTCGAGAAACAAGATGGTAATTAAGGTATATAGATGCAGCAGAATTTGCTGTAATAAATATACATAAAATGACGGCAACCATCATAAAGCCCCATCGGAGAAAAAATAGCCATAGCAAGTGAATAAGATAAAAGGAAGTATAGATGATAAACAGCATGCAAAGATATCTCAGAAAAATAGTAGTTCAAAAACCAAACATGTGGAAACAAGCTAAATAAAGGATTTACTCTTTGGTACAATTTACAGCTCAATAAATCAACAGGTAAAGAACAATAGATGGATTCAGCATGCATTATAAGAGTTTCTACTGAATAAGGGAACATCAAACAAGCTCCAACATATGATTCGTAAACAAGCTATTAAAGAACATACAGCTACCCACATGAGTGACTGGCAATAATTTCAACAGAACAAAGAAGTGGTGGAGAAGCCTCATAATTGCTATCATAAAAGATCTTTTACAAAAAAACAATTTTCAATAAAAAAAAATGCAGAAAAAAAAAACGCCAAATGCATGGCTTTCCAGCCAAAGTATATATCCCACATTTTCAAAACCATTGCAGTAAAGGGCCAAATGAAGAATTGAATAAACTATAACTGGTATGATTTACAAAATAAAAAAATATAAATACTTAAAAACATTAGATCGTACTAATGCTTATGCCACTGTGGATTAGAAAATAGAAAAACAAAATCACTCTAAGAGAATTTGCCTGCCTAACACTGTATTATGCATAGCTTTGTAAGAGAAGCAAAGGACAACAAAAAATAAGGTATCAAAGGCGACAGTTCAACTCACATAGCAACAAACTAGCATGAATAACATATGCTCAGAAGCAGTACCAAGAAAATAATGCTCCAAGGTTTCAAGATTTTGTTTCATATGCAATTCTGTTGTCATCTTTTACAAAAAATAAGATGAAGAACAAGACTTCCATATGAATAAATTGCAACCATTGTGCTTAACTAACCTTGAAATTTTAGCATAAATGATTTTAACAAAAACAAAAACCACATAACCACTGATGTTCACAAGCGTGGCACTTTTACTGCTCTCAAAATCCTCATAAACATCAATCTCGCATATATAAATAAAAAAAAGACTCAAAGCCAGTTTGGACTGTGAACTAAGCTGCATTGCAAACAATAAGCAAATCTACTACCATTCCAAATCATTTATGTGTAACATCATGTTCTTTTATTACCGGGAGAGGAATCGAAAGTGTCAAACAAGGTGGGAGAAGAAGCAATGAATCAGACAGTCGTAGAAAGCGATAAGAAATGAGGACACATAAACCAAAAAGAGAAGGACAGGAAACGAGCGAATGGGAAGCCAACAGACAAGTTCGCCCTATAAATCGGCCAGAGAGGCAGGATCTATCGTTTGTGCAATCAGAGAGCAGTGGAAGGGGTGTTGCTTGCTTTCATACTCGAGAAGATGAAGTAGTAGACATTGTGCTCGACGGAAGAAGACAATCGCAGCTTTGCACTGTCATGTCAAGTTGAAGAGGAAAACAAAGGAGAAGCTTAAGACTTTGATCGTGCCCAAAAAGGAGCATCGCGTAGAGGAGGCGGCACTGGGTTGAGGAAGTCGAAGCCAGCTAGTAAGCTGTCGAGCAGGCAACGAAGGGGTGGATCTCGCAAAGGGGAGGAAGAAGCCTATGCGTGGTTTAGGGATCGACGAGGTAAGTTATTTAAAGTTAAAGTTATTTGAAATAATCATAATAATAGTATATTTATATATTTATTAAATAGAAATTAAGTAGAATTAGATAAAGTAAATTTAAAACTTAATTAATCGAAAGATAATAGTTTATTAAAATAATAAATTAATTAAATATCATGTATATGTTAGATTTTAATTTAGAAGATTGACGTGAAAACAAATTCAAGCACAAATTAGTCACCATCAAGTGAGAACTCCTATTCTTAAGCTATAGTATCATTTTGGCATCTCTTCTAAACCAGTTTTATGGGTTGTTATTTATGTTTGATTAATACAATTGATTTTTCTATTATTAAATTTTATCAGTCATTTTGAATGCGAATGTTTATAACTTCATATTATGAAATATTTATTGCATTATAGTATTACATGTTAAGTGAAATGAAATTATAAATGATATGATTTACATAGATTGATTGTATCTGCATGACTGACTATAATAGAGTCACCCCTTTATGGTACCAACGACAGAACGCTAAGTTACCCGCACGTATATGGAAAAAAATATTGATATTAAATTACCTTAATTAACATAAATTTTTAGACAGTGCTCCCGTGACAGTTATACAGATATAAAACGATATTGGAATACTATTCACATAATTAGATTTATTGAATAGCATGTTAAATGTTTATATTGATTTATTAAGAAGTTTAACTGGCATGCATATTATTTTTATATCTCGCATACATTGTTGCGTGTTAAGAATATGAATATTCATTAATTTATTTAGCTCATTATTATTTCAAACTAACTTTTCAAGTTAATTTTAGTAATTAAAAGATGAACGATAAAAAAGATAATGTTTATAGAAGATGTGGGCAATCAGCAACGACATAAATTTAAATATATTATTTTAATTTACTTTGATTAGTGGTTCTTTCATTTATTAATAGTTATTAAAAATTTAATTCTCACCGTACGACCGTTTGTTCCCATCTTGGTTAATTCCAATCCCCGGGATGGATCGCAACATTATGGCTCTGGTAACACTATTACAGGCAGAACAAATCACATGACAGAATCTCCATTAAATCTATGACTGAAATCTAACAAATCTACATTACCACTCACTAGGGTCGAGGATTTGTTTAAATTTTACTATACTTATTTGAATATTTCATATTTATATTTCTAAACTTTTCAATTCTTTTGAAATCAATTTGATACCAAATTTATCATAAGACAAACCATAAGATTCTAGACTTACCAGCCAATATATCAATTTGAAACAGAGATCAATAAACTAAGGTATCCTTTTGTAAGCTTCTACTTAAATTATCTTGTGAAGCTATTGTTGAAAAGTTGCTTCATGAAGCAACTTCAAAAGCTTGTTTAAAAACAGAATTTTCAAAGAAAACTTCTTGACAGCCAGCTTAGCAAATTTTATTCAGATAAGATGCACCAGCCTTAGAAAGCTGAAAAAAAATGACACTTTAAGAATGTTGTTCGGAACTAGTAAGAGTTGTCAAAGCAGATAAAAATTAATAAAGCATAAGAAGACTAGTTTGGTACAAAAGAAATGGTCAAATATTTCAGAAACGGTATTGATCAGAATCACATTTACCTTCAGCTCTTGGCAAATATCCAGTATTCTCAAAAGGAAGATTGGGTCTGTGTAAACATCAAGAAATCTCCGTAATACCAGATTAGGATGAGCACGCCAAACATAATGAATCAAACTAGTCTTCATCGGATCCTTTAGTATTGCAGGAAACAAAATTGAAAAGACTTCAGACTGGAGGAAGTTGTATGTAGTCTGCAAAAGCAAGCACAATCACAGAGTGGGTTAGGGGGGGGCTTATGTATTTACATATCTCACACCAAAAATATCATATTTACACACACAGCACTCGCATCTTTAATATCACATCAAAAATAGCACTATCACCACTTTTGAAAAGAAAAATACATGTTTATGCATATATTTGAAGCATCAAGATACTATGTATGTAAATATGAATGCTTAGTTGCGAAATACGTAAATACGTAAGAATTGTGTTATGTGTGTAAATTTCCCTAATAAAATACTACATGTCATCATAATAAGCAATGCAAGTATTACACTGATTTGGGAAATTGCTGCAAGTAGGACTTCGGGACACTGACTGAGGGGTTGCTCAAGCATCATGCGAACTGTACTTATGTGTCCCCTCTCAGCCAACTGGCATAAAACCTCCAAGAGATCTAGACATGACCATGCATGATTGCCTTCTTTATTTGCAAACTGAAACGAATCTGAGTGATTCTAAAGAACAATTTAATAAAAAAGAGTTAGGAAACTAGCCAATCCAATGGAATTCTTAGAGAGAGAAAAGCAGTTAAAGTTACCAAGTGCCTTGAAGAATGAGCAAAAGTGAATACATCAGGTCGAGCAGACACTGCATGCCTTAATAAAGACAACTGCCCTTCTGCATTCCTCCAGATAGACCCACAAACAGCATGGAGAGGAAATGGATCCTGGAGAGTTCATTCCCATCCCTCAAAAAATTACAAAAATAGGTGCAATTATCTCAAAAGTAGAATGCTACATAAACAGCAATTTGAACAAACCTGGCAAGATTTTTTGTATACAGACATTAATAAAGAAAAAGATGCTTCATCGGGAATGTTAAATCCTTCGTGATCTAGATTCTCCATGACATTCACCCAGTTGATTGTTGGAGCCTAAGATTCAGCAAGCAACATGAGTAACAGAATTTACACTTAGCATGTTCATAACCACCAAAATGAGTTTCAGTATAATTGACTCACCAGTTGCCCAACTGAATCCACAAGAATATCAACATTCCAAGTGTTGAAAGATGATGATTCGCATGGCAAGCTGCTGCCAACAGCTGAGCAAAATGTATAATGTATGTCCAGATCATCTTCCAGACCTGTTCTGGTAGAAATAATTGTACTTATCAACCTGGAAAGCGTCGCTTCTGTTAGAGGTAGAAAATGAGAGAGCATCTCTGTGCAATGTGAAGTATTGGAAGTACATCCATAGCCAAGTTCCCTCATGATATCAGCCATGCTTATTTCCTTTTCCATCTCAACTAAAACTGCCTCAAAATCATTATCAGAACATTCTAAAAGTGCATCTAAATGCCTGCACAATGTGAAAATCAGACTAAAATTAAATTCAGCCCAATATTGAAAAGGCAAACATTTCTAGAATAGCACGGTTACAGTACCCCAGCATATTGGTTTCATTCATATCATCTACATGAGCTGAGGCTCCTACCAAAAAAAATCTCTCGTTTGTAGGTATTAATGACAAGATTTTTGTAAAAGAATCTGCATGCTTTGAAAGGCCCTCAGACCAGCATAAAAACATAAAGATATCCTGAATTTGTTCATTATGGTCGGAAGAGGTGGGACTTGAACAAAGTTCTTCAATCTGAAGAATGCAAAAATTTTGGCCTGAAATAATCAACAAATGAAAAATAAGTATTAACGAATCGAATATGCAATTAAAACTACATTACATTTTGCACAACTACTACTGATAAAGAAGGCAGTCATCCCTGCTCTGCATCAGTATTGAATCAACCAGACCAGTTAATGACAGTAAAACCCATTGAAAAAATTTTCCATAGAGGGCACAAAAATGTGAAAGGGTATTCGGACAACTGAAAACCACCTCTCCATTGCCTTCACCAATTATGAGTCAGATTGGCAGGAAAGACAAAGGAGACAGTTTTATCACATCCCATTAAAGATTAACTTGGAATAGTATAAGAGAGGGGAATGAACGGCAGATTAGGGAACGGACGAATAAACGAAGAACTCAAGCCACCACTATTGATCTTGGTCATCACTCACATTGCCCTCAACTTTTATGTGATCACAATCGCAATCAATCACCGCCACATTCGATGCCTATCCTTGTCAGTGCTCACTTGATAGTCGACGGCATTAGCAAGCCTAAACTTAGGTTTATTTCCCATAACTCGAACACTCATTTATAAATTGGTATGTAGCTTAGGAAGTAGGAAAAAATAATTCTAAGCTTTTTATCACTTCAGTTCAACTTAATTATAATGCATTGCATTTACTTAGCATGCATCAAAAGACAAAAAAAAAATAAATAAAAAATAGAAAATAGTTTTCATAATATTTATATCATAGGCAACCAAGCATCTATGAAAAATCATTATAGATGGTCTCCGTTTTACACAGAACTCAAAAAATACATTCTGAATCTTGCAATTAAACAACCCCTAAATGGTAGTTAACAGTAAAAATTTAAATAAGATCTATAAATCTCAAAAAATGAAAAAAATAAAAAGACCTATGCAAAAGATTTTCAAAACACCAATCTATTTAGAAAAACTGGTAACCTACTCTAGAAAAATTTAAAGTCACCGATTATTAAAATTAATGGTCCAACAAAAACTCATTATGGCAAAATAAGTGTTCTTACCTATGACTTTCAAGTCGATATTATCCGATTCTGATAATGCTAGACCAACACCAACTTTCTCTGCATTTGAAAGCTTCAATGTGTTTGAAAGATCTGCCAAGTATGCCTCACTCGTTGATGTTAATCGCAATGACTCACAAAAAATTGTAGTGAAATTTGGCCTATGCAATAGATGCTTGAAAATAGCAGACACAGGGCCCAGTGGTGATTGCAGATTAGGGTTTACGCTACTGTAATTCAGTAGATCTAAGCAACCTTGAAGCAATAAAATGCTGCCTTCACATCCATACTCTTCGTACTGGAAAAACAGGGTATATGCAGGAGATGTTAGCAAGAAATTCAGTTCAAAACATTGGCACTTTAAAGAATAAAATGAAGAAAAAACAAATCACATAAGCTATTAAAACACATAATAATAAATACAATTAGACATAGAGATAATCTATAATCATTTTTCCATCACGGTTACATGTTTAACTGTCACAAAGGCCAGATCATAATATAACAATGGATGAAAGTTTGAAAGCCCCAAACAAAGCTCTTGAAATCTAAATATAGCTCTCGAAATCATTACAATAGCAAACTTTTTACTGCTTACTCGTGCAATGAGAGACATTCATTTGTTCGGCAAAATCTTTTCTTGTCCTTTCTCTCTTCAGACAAATTTTTGTCGTTTCTCCTTTCAAGCAAATTCTAGCCATGACTGGCTATTTAAAAAGGTTCCTACCATCGCCATTTCACAATGTTTTAAAATAAAAGGGCAATCTGTGCTAAAGATGAATAAAGTAGATTTGAGTGATATTTGTACTTTTTAATGTTCCTCAAGACAAATGCCACGAGATGAAGTACATGTCAAGACACAAACAGCTTACAATGCTATGTATAGTACTGGCAACTATATTTGTCTACAAACATAAATGCTTCAATGAGGCAAGCATTTTTTAGCTGGATAGCAGCCACATGGCGCACCAACATGTTATATGATTATTACTCTGGTTATAAATCTTGAATGAAAAATTCTAATATTATCAAATCCTAGCACACTTAATGGCATGTAGATGTATCTCGCGTCGTCTAAAATTGTTGCTATAGTCACAATGTATTTAAGGGGTTTTACATCCCCAACACTCCTCTTGTTCTGAAAAAATATATGGTAGTATTGTATTAGAAAATAGCTTATTTTTATATGGATTAGCATTGGGCATTGCTTAGGTAAGTCTAGGGGACCATCTCCTAAAAGAATTGTGATGATTTTCTGATAAAACGTTATTTGTGTTTCATTTATAATCATAGATAAGCAATGCAATTCTCTTTCATAATTTGCATTACAGTCCATAGAGTATATCCTCTCTACTAACCACGTCCTCTACTACAGTTTAGCCATAGCTTCCATCATTACAACGTGATGAAAATCCACTCCTAACATTTGTTCATTTATCACATGGTTGATGTGCCTTCATCCACACATTGGGTGGATGGATCTTCATGAAATACTTAGGTACTCCATGGCTGAATGTACCTTCGAGAAATACTTAGGTATTTCATGGTTATAATACGCAAATTTATCACAGCTCAACCACCATCATCAACTTTTCATAATAAACTGGTAAGTGTTTATTATTCTCCTTCTCATCCCACCACAACCACCTCCCACTTCACTAATGTGCAGAATTGCACCTTCCCACTTCACAACCTTATGTATCAAAGCAATCAAATGAGGTCCAATCAATCATCAAAGAACAGGAAAACAGCACCTAATACCTAAATGCATTTTCATATTCACATAAGACTGCTTTACAGCGAAGGCTATAAGATACTCATAAGCCCGGATAAAAAAATAATAAACGGAATCATAGAATTCTTTCCCAACTGAAAATAACCCACACCCTCTTGCAACCAATTACCGCATCAACGAAGAACATATTTATGACGTCATCCGAAAAAGACTATGCTCAGAAAACAAATAGCCGCATTCTAGGAAAATAATATATGGAGTCCCGCAAACGATTCCTACGGATCAATTTTCTATCCCATGATAACTAGCGTCATCGGCAAATAAAATCTGGAAAAAAGGGGGGAGTAGGGGTTTGCAAGGCCATGGTAAAAATAAAAAGTGCTGCCAGACACACAAATCTAGATGAAATGTTAGCAGAGAAAAAGAACCATGCTTTCGTACCTGGCAGAGCTCGCGAAAAAGCGAATCGAAAGTGGAAGGGCTCGCACTCTGCAGGAGGAAACGTATCTGGCTCGATAGGGTAGAAGAAAATGGAAGCATGGTGCTGCTTCCAAAAGAATTTTTTGTGCTGGGAGACGTGAATGGAAGAGGGCAAACGACAGTGTTAGGGTTTTCGCTCCACCGCCGAGGACATGGCTCGAAGATGGTCGATCGTTCTCGTGCGGCAATTTATCCGCTTGCCGTCTCTGTTTTCTTTGTAATTCATTTCGTAAAATAATTTATATTTATTACTCATAATTATCATATGTTTATGTAATTAATAAGTACTTCACTCAAATTTAAAATTAAAAATTTTTAAGATTGAAGTGTCGGACTTTAGTAAATTTAAAATTAAAATATTTAAATATTTTAATGAGATAAATCTATTAAGTATTATGTTGAATGGATTTGTTGAAGCTTTAGTATCTCATGTTTGAATCGTTCGTTCAAATAAACAAGTCGAACACGAACAAAATTTTTAAAGTCGAATTTTAAACGAGTCGAACACTAACAACCTTTGTTCTATTGTATTCAACTTGTTTAACACTAATATATATATATATATATAAATACACTAAATCCATTCATGGAAGGGATTATAATGACTGTTATAGTGCTCTGCCAAAAAAACAAAGGTTCATAACATAACATCCAAAAGAAGCAAGGACACAAAGTAAACTATACATATATAGATGCAATTATATCTAAGTTTAAATCACCACAAGTTGTGTGGTCATGTTGTACATGTTTCAATCCAACACCCTACATTTATTTTTTTAATAAATTTTTAAAAGACAATTTTAAGCCCAACATAAGTCGAACACTAACAAGAAAATGTAAACTGAGTCGAACATAAACACTATGTTCACAAACAATTTTTGGCATAAGCAACTTTGCTCAAAATTAAATTTGAATGAGCCAAGCACAAATCAAGTCTGGGCTCACTCCAGCTTGCCTCATTGACAATCCTAGACACAAAGTCTTGTGGTACTCTATACAATATAGAGATTTATGTCCAATAAATTAATTATTTGTGAGCTTTCTTAAACCTTAACAAGTCTTCATAAACTCCTTAACAAATACATGCAAGTCTTAATGGGCATCCGCTAAGTCAACTATGTTAATAAATTATTATCACATGACTCAACTATTAAGAACTAAATCCAACCAAAATTTTAAGCATTTTTTTAACTTTCACATTAAAAAGTATTGATGCATGTCTGAAGATTTACATCAATAAAGTAATTAATTTGCATATTAATGTTGCACGAAAATTCAGCACACATTTAAGTAATTAAAATGATTGTTAGAGACGCTATAAGGTTTTACGTGGTAAACTCCAGAAGGCAAAAAAATCATGAGGCCTAGCTCAGTTAAAACGATTCACTATAAATTGATGGTTACACGCCCCAACTCTTATCGCAGAGGTGATAAAGAGTTACACAATTCCTTGATATAAATAATTTGTAAGTAAAAAAAAACGCTATGTAGTAGTCAAGAGTGGTTTTGGTTGGGAGTAGTTGTCGGAGTATTGGAATAGCGTCTTTAAGGCGTATCGCTGCATGGATTTCAGGATGATGCACTACTTCATAGGGTGCCTCATTATTCTGTAACGCCAATCTTTACTCTGCATGGCATTTCATTACTTCATAACTTCGGCCTTCACTCAACACGGTGCTTCTTACCACAAACGGGGGTGGCCGATGGTGGTTGATGAGTGGTGGTTAAGGATAGTCTATGACTAAATAAGCGAGATGTGTTTGTTGGGTCTTTAGTTGTGAACTGCGCCGAAACTCAACAACTTCTTCGCCCACCAACCTGAGGCCCAACTTTTCTTCCCGTTCAAGATGTAGGTCCCTCTTCATGAAAAGGGTAAGACACTATTTATGGAGTATGAGAAAGGCTTTCCAACAAATATGGAAGGAATTTGAATCACTCCATCGAAAGGCACGAAGAGATCTCCAATCAGACAGTATTTGGTCAATACTTAAGTGTTTTAATGATGATGTATTGAGTGATCTTAGGCTCGTTGGACTCTTATCATCGAGATGCTCAATTTGTTTATAAACTTATTATATTTGGAATTCATTTCACCTTCTAATTAGGAACTAGAAGTTTCCAAAAGTAATTTAATGGGTTGATCCGAGTTTTATTTGATTCGAGCTGGACAAATTTTGTTGTCATTGTGTTTGTCTTGTTGAGTTGGCTGATTCATCGTAAGTTTGTTGAAATTAAAGTTCTATATGATTTTTAATTAGATTTTAAATGTTTCATGTTTGAAAAATGCTTTGAGATTCATATTAGTCATCTTTAGATTCATGTCAATTCATAAATTTTATTAATGATGTATCAGTTTCCTCCATATTTTTATGTAAAATAGCTTACTCGTTCGAAATTACTGAAATTTTTAAAAATTATTAAAAAATTGAAGTTTCTAGCAATAGTAGGCAATTGACAATGGCAGCGAAAGACGGTGTTGGTGCATGGCAATAGCCACTGGCAGGTACTTGTAGTGGTGGTTCACCGATTCATGTCGGGGTCTAAAAGGTCAGGCAAGTTGTTATGGTGGAGTGAGTCAACGCGTGTTGATGTGTCACGTCGCAGGTATTGTGGGTCAAGTCGTGTTGTGGGTCTAATGAATCATGAAGTTGGTGGATCGCACAGAGGTGACAATTCAGAAATATGCAATTGGATGATGGATGACTGTATGCTAGATGAGGATCATAATGTGGATAGTGTGTGTCATTATGAAATTGGATCATGGGGCTTGAATTGAGTTGAAATCCAACGGATTGTCACGAGTATCGTTCAATCGTGGATCTGGGCCCAATTGAATGACTATGGCGATGTGCGGGATCATACAACGGGCACATGCAAGAGCAAAAATTTTGCCTATGGAACTAGTCGAATCTGCTTGAAAATATGATTCAGTTGTTAATTTGGGTTGAATTTGAAGATGGAGTTTGGGTAAGCGGGGTAAACATGGATTTTGGTCTTTTTAGCCTTCTTTTCCCTTTTTAATCCTATGCAAAAAAGTGAAGAAATAATTAGAGTCTTGTTTCCTATTTATTCGATCAATGGACTTCCGCTAGCATTTTAATTGCGCACCTTAGAGTTACAACCTATTTATGTGATCAATGGAGCTCTCTTATGCATTATTGTTGAACATTCCATATGGGATTTTTTGTGTTTCCAAATTCCAACCATAAAGGATGCCTGCCCTCTTAAAAATTAAAGGAAAACCTAAAATCTCGAAAATGTGATATCAAACCTGACAGAGAATGATCAAATATTATTTAGGAAGAAAATTTAGTTCCTATGTAAAATTTTGGTGAAGTTACCAGCCCCAATTGAGTGAGCCTATTCTCATTCCCCATGATATGTTACAATTTAAGAGGTGATGTTATAGGCTAGCTTGTATTTTTTTCGGCGCCTGAGCTATTGGACAATTTGAAAGTGATCAGAGTCATTATTTCCTAGTTCTTTTGTCGGGCAGCAACAATCATCATATGGCTTATTGTTTCATAAATGTGATTTGAAGTTGACACTGAAGATTTTTGTCTAGTTGGGCCGATTTACTAGCAACACACATGAATGCATCTTCTAATGAAACAAAAAAAATTGATTTTTTCCCGAAGGATCTTGTAAGGCAATGGCATGTAGTATTTTTCCTCGCAAAAAAATGATTGGGAATTCCATGAGAAATTAGGAAAACTATAGTAGATGTCAATCTCCCTCCGGGTCATTAAAGATGAAATATTATGGATATTTCGATTTTAAATTTAACGTAAATGCAGCTCAAGGTGTACTATATCTATGAATTTATAATCAAAGAATTATTGTCCATGCTTAGACTCTCCTTTCATCCTAGATGAACTTCTGCAATGATGTTGAAGAAATTCAAGAAGCAACATGAGCTAACTCCCGTGGCACCTCTGAAGCACACTCTACCAAGCAGTAATTGTAAAATGCTTCCTTAAAAATAGTGTAAGAGGACTGAAGAGGAAGGAAGCCTTTGCTTGGATCTTCGAAGAATCACATTATGCAGAACGTGTTAACTCATTCTTGCATTGAGTTTCAGGAGGTCGAGGACTAAGTGAGTATATGTTAAATATCATCGCCACATATTTCTTTCATCTACCTGATATAGAGCTATTTATTCTAGATGAATAAAATGATGAAGCTTCAAATGGGGCTTAGCCTTTCTTTGAGAGAGTAAAAATCCAAGTTCTTCAAAATTAACTTCATCTAGGTAAGTATAAGTTTTGATATGATTTTGTAGCTACGGGAATTACAACTCTAGAATTTCAGCTGACAAAGTGCAGGACAGAGCTATTTACGATGATAACTTTATTTTCATTGCACTGTCAAGATTTCGAGAGCACTTGTGAGAAGTTGGTTCAATCATAATCTGATCTTAGTAATATGTCAGCTCTTAAGAAGAAAATCCAAAGATTGAGGTCCAAGAAAGAGTTCAATGTCACTAGAGTCAAGTTGAGAACTATGCACGGCTTCAAGAGGTTGCTTGAGCTTAAGAACATAATTCGAGATCACGTTCAAGTGACCCACATTCACATATATGATATTCTGGTAAAGGGCAGTTTGAAGGAGTGTGTCAAGGAGAGATTTATCCCGTGCTTAAGTTGAGCAATACAACATCTAACTAGGGTTGTCCTAGGGAAATTACCTCTAGCCAAAATTTTGATGACCTCCATTTTGATTTTAACGACGATGATATTAAGAGTAAACTGAAGAAGGTGTTCTCTAGTGGCAAACACTAGCAACCCTTGGTTCAATTATGTTTTACTTCTTTAACTCAACATAAGAAGATTATATATATATATATATATATATAATATTGGAGAAGGAATATTACGCGTGGAATCTGCATGAGTTGCCCACAACTTGTGTGATCATGTGATTTTGTCCCTTTACTATGCAGGAGTTGTGCATGCTTGAATCCAACACCTTAAATCTATTTTTTTGATTAATTTTAAGAGCAAATTTTAAGTCAAACACAAGCCAAACACAAATAAGAAAATGTAAATTGAGTCGGACATAGACACACTATTAATGAGAAATTTTGGGCATGAGACAATTTTGATCAAAATTAAATTTGAATGAGTCGAGCACAAGTAGAGCCTGGGCTCACTCAAGCTTACCTTATTTACAACCCTAGACACAAAGTTTTGCGATAACCT